GGGAGGGAGGGGATTGAAGGAAGGGAAGGGAGGAACGAAAGAAGGGAGGGACGAACGGATGGAGGGACGGAGGAACGGATGGATGGATGGATGGACAGATGGACAGACTGAAGCAGGAGGGAGGGAGGGAGGGAGGAAGATAGGAGGAGAGGGAGGGAGGAAGAAAGGGAGGAAGAGAGGGAGGGAAGGAGGGAAGGAGGAAGGAGGAAGGAGGGAAGGAGGGAAGGAGGGAAGGAGGGAAGGAGGACGGCAATGGGGAGAGAGGGAGGGAGGGAAGGAGGGAGGGAGGGAGGGAGGGAGGGAGGGAGGGAGGAAGAAAGGAAGGGAGGGAGGGAAGGAGGGAAGGAGCGAGGGAGCAAGGAAACATGAGGGAAGTAGGGAGGAGGGAGGAAAGGAGAAGGAAGGAAGGAAGTAGGTGGAGAGAAAGAGGGAGAAGGAAGGAAGAGAGGCAGGGAGGAGGGAAGGAGAAGAAAACAGGAAGAGAGTGAGGAAGAGGGAGGAATGAAGCGAGGGAGAGACAATGGATGCACAAATGGAAAGACGGATGGACATGAGGGCGGGCAGGAAGGCGGACAAGGAGGCCAGCGAGCAGGCACGGAAATGGACTGTAGGCAGACGGACAGATGAACAAAGAGAAAGATGGAGAGAGCCATCTGTACAGACAGCATGAAAGATGGGAAGGAGGAAGGGAGGAAGGGGAGAGGAAGGGGAGGGGAAGGGGAGTGGAAGGGGAGGAAGGGAAGGAGGGATGGACGAGAGACAGTGGGGCAGGGAGCAGGGGGAAGGGAGGGATGGAGGGAGGAAGAGAGCAAAGGAGGAAGGCAGGCAGGAACAAACACAGGTAGTATAGTGTAATGACCTTCCGAACATGGACTGAGACACACAGCTGATTTCTGAGTTTTGCTCATGGAATGTATGCCTTACTGAGTTTCCCGCTTGCCGAGTTTTCTTAGTCTGTATGGGTGCATGCTTGCTGGTCTGCATGTCTGTCTGAGTGCTTGTTGGCTTCAGTGGGTGTGTGACCCGCAAGGGCACTTGGTGTATCGGAAGGCCCGAAGGGCCGGTACTTACCTGTGGCCGTGACATTGATGGTTGCAGTGGGGAAAACACTCAAGTGGTGGCGAAAGAGGCCCGCAACACTTCAAGCAGTGGAAAACACTCAAGTAGCAGGTAGGCCGGTACCACAACAAGTAGAGGTAGATATGCCGGGTACTCGAGGCCGAGCAGAAGAAGACAAAGTTGCCATTTTTAGAGGCCCAGTAGTTGTAGGCTAGGTCTAGGCGGGTACCAGTCCAACCAGTATGAGTCTAGGGCCTGTACGGTCAATATCAGAGTCTGCAATGATGTTTCCCTTCGAAAGGGAGGAGGAACCAGTTGGTTGGAGGCCGCGCAGCCTAGGAAGTCGCTCGCCAAGAGGCAAGCAGGCCGCTATATCTGCAGGAGGAGCAAGGTGCTCCTCCTCATTGTCGGTGTGCAACTTTGGCGACACACTGGTTGGAGCGCTGGCTGGAGCAGCGCTAGCTTGGAGCAGCACTGCTGGGGAAGGAGCAAGGACAAGGGGAGAAGAAGATCAGGACTAGGAAGGGGGAGCACCAGAGGTACTTACCTGGATATGGTGGTTGCCATCTTCATCACCTTGGTGGGCGCTGCAGCAGGAAGGCCCCAGTTGGGGTAGAGCTACACCAAGAAGCTTCGAGGCAGAGTCAGGCATGGCAGCCTGAGCTAGAGCAGCCATAGCTGCTTTGTGTTGTCCTTTGCACAGCAGGGTGATGCCCTGGTAGTCCATAGCCTCGGCCTTGGAGGAAGGAGGAAGAAGGGCGGCCATGGCTATGGTGGACCTCATGTGATACCTGCAGTAGAAGAGGGATTCGGACATTGATTCTGGTTCAGCCATTCAACATTATTATTATTATTTCTTGGTTGAATAAGAGGGGAGGAGATAAGGAGGAGGAGAGTGGTTAGTAACGAAGAAGAGCATTATCATTTGTCTATGCTGGTGTACATCATCTTCTTCTTCTTTCCCTCTCTCTCCTCTCAAGTCCATTCATTTCTTTTTGCAATTGGACGGCATTGTACATTCTGATGAATGTGTACTTCGAAATTGGCCAGGATCATTCATAACCCTAGGGAAAAGAATGGAATCCAATCAAAACTGGATGTCTGATCTGCTCATATTCATCTGTCCCCACCAGGTGGCATACTTTCCAACCCTGATTTCCAGCTGCCCCAGGAACAGGTTTGCAGCTTGCCTTCCTGATGGTCGGTCCCCGCCTCTGCATCCCGAACTCTCTAGGCAGTTCTCACCACCTGATGGTTGACTGTGCAATGCCCAACGGCATTTTGCAGTCTCAGATGTCTGTGTTCAGTGCATTCCGTCTGTGAAGTTCTGATTTGTCTGAGACTTCTATGTGTCCCAAGTGAGGTCTGTGCATATGTACCACAATGCTTGGGACTTGCCCATGCGCTGATCCCTGGGTGGCCAGGTAAGTTCTGAGCCGCGGAAAGGGAGTGTCCGAGCTAAGTTCTGAGCCAAGGGAAAGGGAGTTACCAGGACTTCGGGAAACCTACAGACTCAGGTTTGGAACATACAGGGGAAGATAAAGAGTTTGGAGGCCAAGGGGATTTTTTCGGTAAATCCGAGGCCCAGTAAACCTCAGCAGTGCTCACCTGTAATGAATGTAACCAGACCAACTTAGAGTAGGATACCTCCAGGCCAAGCTACTCGGGCTTCAGCCCGCTCTCCCACCCCTGAGAGAGCAGGCTGAAGTCCGAGTAGCTTGACCTGGAGACTGGGTAGCTACCTGGGTATCATGCTGTTTATACCAACAGAGAGCCTTGGGGTTAGACATTCCATCATTATTTTGGCACACCATGTAGAGGAACTGACAGTGTGTTGAGCACTAAACCTGGGAGGAAGGAGGAGCCCAGGGAGCTTGCACGACTATGATGGAAAGCTTCCTGGCTATGGTGAGGACTGAGTCGCTATGTTGTCCACCTCTCGCCTTGCCACTTGACTTTTCCATGTTTGAAGCGAGGCTACCAGAGTCGCCGGGCCCGGTCCAGCCCGCCCGCGGGGGCAATCCGGGCAAGCCTGCCCAGGGTACCCGGGGGACAGCAAAAGGGGTCTTTTTCTTTTCCCTAAGCAATAATAGGGCATTTTTGGCCCAAATGAGATGTGCCTAAGTCCAGTCTTATCTCTAAATTTGGTGATGTCTCACAAAATGGTGTCTATGAGGCACAAACGGGGTTGGAAGGGGCTTAAACCACTAATTCACAGCCCCCTTGCTCCTAAGAACACACTTGTATACAAGACCGTAAGAACGAAGGCTCAGCTTACCGGACCAAGGGAAGTACCAGGGGAGTGCACTAAATTCCGAGTACCCCAACTTTGGCGATTTTTAATTCTGATTTCCAGCAACAAAGAGTTCTGAAAAAAATGTAGAGTCACACTGAATTTTGCAGTGACATTCAGCCAAAAGTTGTCTTATTTGCAATTCCGCAAAACATAATTTTTTGCTGGGCTACCAACCGTGCCGCCAGGGTCCCCAAAGCTGGCACGGGACCTTCCCGGGACGACTGGCTGGGCAACTGGGCCGGGTGGAGTCCCGACCGTATCACACCCAAAAAAAAAAAAAAAAAAAAAAAGGAAAAAAAATATGTTGTGCAGAACAACAAGCCAAACAACTTTTGCCTAGGGTCACTTCCAAATTCTTCACAGAATTCGAAATAAAAATAAAACAAAGTAAGGAAAATTATCTCACACCCTTGGAAAGCCTTTTAACCCCTTAAAAGCCCCTTTAAGGCCCTTACCCCCCCCCCCACCCTCCAAAACTGGCATGAACCAAAAAAATATCTTAGAACGAATTTGGATACCTCTCGGAGGGCACAAAATAGCCCCATCAAGGGGAAGAAAAAAAAAAACAAATTGCCTGTTCTTTTTACTTGCCCCGGTGACCTGGGCAGGAAGGTCCCAATCACACTGGCCCAGCTGCCCGGCCGGGCAGCCCGTGCAGATTTGGTAGCCCAGATTTTTTGAACTTTTTTTCCAAATATTTTTGAGTTTTTCTTTTCCTTCTTTTGGGGGGCTGGTGGTGTACGGGACCTTGACCAGAACTGACAAGGCCCGGCCAGTTAGGCCAGACAGAGGCACCCTGGGTGGCCCGGTTAGTAGCCAGGTTTGAAGTGCATGCTAACCTATCGTAGGACCGGCTTCAGGAAGCTTCAAGAGAATGACTTCAGCCACCAGTGCACCCGAGCTTAAAAAAAAAAAAAAAAAAAGAAACAGAACCTAAGGGTTGTGGCTCTGTTCCATTCTGGGGAGCATCAGTCCCATTCCTATTCCACCGGCAAGTCACAGAAACATACAAGATTATACTCACACACACTATTCCCCATCATGGCTGGGAGGCCCGAGTAGACGGCATTGATTAGTTCCAGTGCACCCAAGCCTATTTTTCGTGGCACTCAATTTTGCCCACTCCTGGATCACCAAACAGTTGCCACCGTTGGGCCTACCAGCGGCAGCGACATGTTTGGACCAGAACTCTTTTGAAAGCTAGGCCACCAGAGTGGCCTGGGACCACTTGCCCAGCTGGGCCCAAAAAAAAAAAAAAAGAAGAAAAAAAAAAAGGTGAAGAATTTCGATGTGACCCTGAGGCAAAAGTTGTGCAGTTTATTGTCTGCATAGCATAGTTTTTTTCCGGTTAAAATATATTATATAATATATATACATATTATTTTTCTTTTGCTGGGACTTTCCCTGGTCCTTGCACGGCCGGGTCGCCCGGGAAAACAAGGTGACCCAGGCAGCCTGGCTGGTAGCCTAGTTTGAAAGGCAACATCTTCTTTTTTTTTGCCATATTTTTCATGTAGACATCAGCACTTTTCGTACATCCATGATATTTTTTAAGTTTTTTTTGCTGAAGGCGATGAACTAAAAATTGCCAAAGTACAGAAACTCACAATTTTGTGCCCCCATCCCCACGGCCTCACACCCGTGGTTAGCCGCACCTCACCGCACCCCTTGTTAACCGGTGCAGCACAACACCAGGTCCCGAGTACATGCAGTTTAAGGGCTACATCTCACTCCATTGGTCTCCGGACTCCATATTTTCTTCATGTTTGAGCTGTGCTACACTTCTTGAACCATATTGGCCAGAAGGGGATACGAGAGTGAGGAAAGATTCTTTTGAGGGGGAGAGTGAGAGAAAGAGAGGGGTGTTACGATCCTGGCCAATTTTGAAGTATACATACATCAGAAAGAACAATGCCGTCCAATTGCAAAAACAAGCGAATGAACTTGAGAGGAGAGAGAGAGGGAAGAAGAAGAAGAAGAAGTAAGAAAGAAGAAGAAGATGATGTACTCCAGCATAGACCAATGACAAGGCCCTTCTTCTTCGCCAACCAATCTCCTCCTCCTTATCTCCTCCCCTCTTATTCAAACAAGAAATAACAACAATAATGTTGAATGGCTGAGCCAGAATCAATGTCCGAATCCCACTTCTACTGCAGGCACAACATGAGGTCCACCATAGCCATGGCCACCCTTCCTCTTCCTCTATATGCAGGTCGAGGCTATGGCGGAGCACTGAGGGCTCTACCCTCCTGTCCAAAGGACAACCCAAAGCAGCTATGTCGCTGCATCCCTGTGCAAAGGACAACGCAAAGCAGCTATGCTGCTGCTCACTAGGCCACCATGCCTGTCTCTGCCCCGAGTTTCCTTGGTGCGGCACTACCCCAACGGGGGCCTTCCAGATGCAGCGCCTAACAAGGTGATGAAGATGGTGTCCACCATAGCCAGGTAAGTACCTCGCCACTCTCCTCCATGCTCCCCTTCTCCCTCCTCCTCCTACCGGTAGAGCTCCACCATAGCCAAGGTGGAAGCTCCCGGCTTCTTCCTCCCAGCAGCGTTGTAGTACCCAGCGCTACTCTAGCCAGCGCTCCAGCAGCGTGTCGCCAAACTTGCACACGAAAGAATGAGGCCGAGCTCTTGCCTCGGCCTCTTGATATAGCGGCCTGCTTGCCTCCTTGGCGGTGACTTCCAGGCCGCTCGGCCTCCCAAGCAACCGCTACCTCCTCCCTTTAGGAGGGAAACATCATTGCAGACTTTTATATTGCCCGTACAGGCTCTAGACTCAGACTGGATGGACTGGTACCGGCCTAGACCTAGCCTACCGCTACTGGGCCTCTAAAAATGCCAAAAACTTTGTCTTCTTCTGCTCGGCCTCGAGTACCCGGCACATCTACTGCTACTGGGTGCGGTACCGGCCTACCTGGTACTTTAGTGTTTTTCCGCTGCTCTAAGTGCCACGGACCTCTAGCTCCGCCACTTGAGTGTTTTCCCCTACTGCAACCCTCAATGCCACGACCACAGGTAAGTACCGGCCCTACGGGCCTGCCAAACAAGCAAGTACCCTTGCGGGTCACACACAGACTCATGCCGACAAGCACTCAGACAGGCACGCAAGTCAACAGGCACGCACACATACAGACTTAGAAAACACAGCAGAATGTGGGAATCTCAGCCAGGCATCATTTCCATCAACAGAACTTCAGAAATCAGCAGTGTTCTCAGTCTGTGTTATTGTGGGTCATTACAGGGGTAACTTCTTAGTGGATGCCAGGGAGGGTGATTCTTGGAAGTTGAGCTCAAGAGATATCGAGTAATAATTAGGGAGGAGAAGTGTTTAATGTGGATTGACGTGGTGAGAGGACGTGGGATATCAACCAGCTCTTCTGTGCTTTTGTTCAGTTTTCTCACTTTTCATTCTTGTTCCTCTTCTTATTTCTACTTGTTTTTTTTTGCGTTGCCATGATTCAATCTTGACTTTTGAATGAAAGGATCATAACAACTGCCAGGTTCACAGAGGTCTTTCCTAGTGTGATGCTGCCCACTGTGCGCCAGTCTGATGCGCAGTGTGCACCATAAGTTCACACTTTGCATGCACATGGCGCACTGAAAGTGTGATGCCAGACAAAACATATAAACTTGCAAGGGCTACAAGCGCTGCAAAGGACTGAAAACACATGCAGGTACCGGTGAGATGTTTCAAGGCAGCACCAAGTCAGTCCCAGCAAAAGGTCTGTGAGAAAAAAGCAAGGAAAAAGTGATGCACCAACTGGACCTAGGTCAGTTGGTTCACCCATGAACTGTTGAGAACTTGAGATACAGACCTGAGCTCGAATTCCAAATGGAATCAGATGAGTGAGAATATCTCTGAATTTACCTGGGGCTGGTCAGTCAAATGATGATATCTCAAGTAACGCACACAGAAAGTCTTCTCACTTACCAGCGACAGAATGCTTGAAAATATACGTCGACAGCTCATGAATCGCTGAGGAATCGTCAACCAAGGTGACAAGGAAACGATGGAACATGGGTCCTCGCCATTTCAGGTAGTCTTTCTGGCATATAGGACAACAAGCACACCAGCCCCCCCAAAGGACGATTCAGTATTTGTCCCACTACAAATTCCATCAGAAGGGGCAAAATATTTTTTCTTTTTCCCCTCATTTCTTTGTTCATTTGTATCACGAGTATATCGTCTGCCATTCATTCTTTGATGAAAACTGCTCAATTGTCATTGCACACTCCCAGATCAGAGCAATGGCCAAATCTGGCTGTTTGCTCACAAAAACAGTTCAGCCTCTGTGCGACCACAGCGAAAATACAGAGCCCTACCCACGTTTGCCAGTTGCAAAAGAATTATGTCAAACGAAACAATGTCAAGCGAAACACTTCTCGTGATTACCTTCCATTGCTCATTGTAAGTGTATCGCAACCAGCCTCCCTTAAGTTGTGGCATCCATAGCCCATACCTCACAACACATCCCATGTTTGGTCGACATGGTACAAAGCAGCTACTTGACGAAAGTTCGTTGAAGTGTTGGTGTGAGAGACTCCTATAAACAAGCAGGCATTTGACAAACATACGGGAATATGTGATAATGCCCACTATTTTAGATGCACTAAGTTTATGAGATGTGAGAATCTGGGTTCAACGCATGTAAATCAGGGTGGAGTTTCCCCAGACACACCTTGCCATGTGATAAGACTCATAGAAACTTCCCAGGCCAAACATTGCTAATAGCAGAAAAGGCCTGTCTAGCATGTTCGCAACAGAGTATTTTCAATTCCTCACTGTTTTCCATTCAATGTGGAAACAGAACTATGGGGCAACTACGGCACGGGTATCTGAAAAGTCAGAATTAAAATTCGGAGAATGTGCACTCAGGCTTGTGAAGTCCGCCGGACGCAAACTCACACTTGCCCGACTTCACAGGCATCATTTCACTGTCAGATGTTACGTACTCAACACGCATTTATCCAAAGTTTCACCTCCTTCACTCTCACCTATCCAACGGTTCTCTCTTCCTCAGATAACAAGGACTTACTCTCCTCTCCATTTGCCAACTGTTTGTCAGACTATGTCCTCTTGCTCACAATTTCTTAAACTCCATGTGAGAGAAGGAACGGGCTATCATTCATCAACAGAATGGATAGAATGACTCCAGTCCGGCAACCACATTGCATAATAATAATACAGGCCAACGACATAGGCATCTGTTTAATGGAACACAATGAATTATTTTTGCAGTGAACTCTTTGACAAATTCCTTTGATTACCTCCCTGTTATCGGATGTACCCCCCCCCCCCCCCCCCC